CCCCCCCCCACCCCCCCCCCAAAAAAAAAAAGGAAAAACTACCTTGACGTAGCGCTGGCCGTCGCCACGCCTCCAGTTCTCGAACACCAGATTGGACATGTAGGCGGGCCAGGTCTCCACCTCCTTGCCCAGGGCCACCAGCAGCGGCATGAGCGTGGAGTCATGCCCTGAGTAGAGCAGCATGCGGTGCCTGGCCGTGCCTGCCACCGTCTCCTCCATACGCTGCCAAAGATGAAAATGGGGGCGGGAGCGGTGCTGAGTTGGGCCGGGAATCCAAGGATGAGGCCGCCCCGGACACGCAGGCACCGACGCTGTGAGGAATACCATGGTGCTTGAGACTGGAGGCCAGCGGCAAAAGCGCGTGCGGTTCAAACCTCTTCAAGTTCCTGGTGCCGCACCGGGCCCCCTGTTTGGTCCACCCTATCTCCCACCCGTACCTCCTCCAGCATTCTGAGCATGCGGCCCATGCCCAGGCGCAGCACCTCCTCCTGCCGGCCCGTGGAGTGGGGCGGCGCCACGACGTGCAGGAAGCTGGTCACCGCCTGCCTGTCCAGTGCCAGGAGGAGGTCTGGCCTGCTGCGCACACCTGGATGGGCATGAGGGAGTTGTGTTCATGTGAGAGGAGAGCACAGGGGCGTCGCTCGGTGTGCACGGGCATGCCCAGGGCAATGCAAGGCAGCGGGTCCAGCCACAGCGGGTCGAGGCCCCTCACTCAACTGCGCCCTGCAGGTAATGGCATGAGGCCTCTGGCTCCCAGCCATCCCCAACTATTCCCCACTGCCACGCCCAGCCGCGAGGCTGAGGCCAGTGCCACACCCGATCCCCACCAGATACCCCTGCACCTCTCGCCCTCTTTTAATCATCTCGCCTTCTGGGATGGGCTTGTCGTGCGCCTGCATGGAGGTCAGGGCGTCGTGCAGGTTGAGCCAGCTGACGCGGTGGCCCGGCGGCAGGCCCATGGCCGCCGCCAGCTCTCGGCCCAGCGCCTGCACTCCCTCATCGCCCTTCGCGCTGGCACGCGCCTCGGCGTGCAGCCCCCCAACCAGCTCCTTCAGGCGCGCGCAGCTGCGCACGTTGGCGTACAGCACCTCGTCCATCTCCGGCGTGGTGAGCGCGGGCACAGGCCCCTCGTCCCCGGGGTACAGCCCCGTCAGCACGCCGGCCAGCGTGGCCACGGTGCGAGCGTAGTTGGTGGTGCGTGGGAGGAGGGTGTCCTGCTTGCGGTCCCCCGGCAGGAAGCCCAGGTTGTCCACGTACCGGCGGCGCAGCCACCGCCCGAAGGCCAGGGCCTGGCGCTGGCCCAGCCGGGTGAGCTCGCCCTTGCTGCAGCCGCCGAGGAAGCGCGTCTCCACCTGCTTCACGTCGTCGGGGTTGGCGGGGCGGGGCTGCCCGTCCTCGGTGCGGATATCCAGGGGGACTGGCGTGTAGGCCTGCCCGCACGCGTCCCACTCCCTAACCAGCTCGGGCCAGTACTTTTGGCTCAGGGGCGTGCGGGCACCTGATGGCGAGTGGGGGTTGGGGGGTGGGGGGGAGGGGGTGGAGGGGCATGGTCTGGACAGTATCCTACTTCAGGGGTCCCCCTCCGCGACATCCCGTACAACCCTCAAGATACCCGCTCCGTAAGTTCAGAGGAGCTCACCATGCCGGAAGACGACCTGCACCAGCTCCAGGGTGTCGCCTGCAGGGTGCTGTGCCTCAGCCAAGGAGCTCGCCGCCCCCCCGCCGAGCAGGGCCAGACCCCCTCCACACACGGCTGCCAGCCTCCACCGCATTTCGGCTCGGCACTAGTAGGCCGGGGCTGGGCTGCGATCCTGAGGTAGTAACCCGATCACTTCCGCGGGGAGTGACAAGAAGAAGCGTGTCGGCGGCAACCCGAGGCCAAACAAACGGTGGAGCAGCTGATGGAGAGTTCAAATTGCCTTGAAGCGTTCCTTATAGGCGAGGTTTCTGCACTGGGCGCGAGGAGGATGGGGCATCTCGGACAGGTGCTCGCATGCACAATGTGTGTAGCACTGTGCCTGGACGACCCGTGACAAGCATGCCACGCGTCCAATAAACGACATCATGTCTGGTTCAATATGCGCCACCATAAAAGCCAGGCCCCAATGTCTCTGTGACCCCGCGGAACATGTGGCACACCGCCAACCCAGCTGCAGCCTCCCTCCCACCTGCAACTCAAGTGTGACTGCCGCCGTAATCTGACTATATCTCTTTCAATGCACACTGTAAACGTCCGGAAGTGATGCTATGCCAGACGGCATACTCCCAGCAGGTGTCATCATGCTCCTCTAACCCCGGTCCTTCCGCTCGTATGTGACATGCGATCTGATGTGGACTTTCGACGGCATGCGACAGGCTTTGGTCAGTAATACATCCGCTCACTTTCATCGTTACTCGCACAATAGTGATCAGAAGTTGTAAACATCATTTCACAACGGCGATCTGTTTCCAGTCATGCAGCGCAGGGCAGTGTCTCGGCTTGCCTCCCTGGCCTCTCGGGCCATTGGCTCGGGACCCAAAGACTTGGCGTGCGCCAGGTTCATCCCAGCCCTAGGATGCCTGGATAAGTGCGTACAGAGTGGGTGGATCGGAAACACCCTGGCCCCCACGGTGGGCCCGACGCCCAGGTCGTTCGCCAGTGAGGCTGACCAGGACTATGCCACCGTCTTCTACCCTGAGGTGGAGGCCGAGGTGAGAAAGGTGCAAATGAATCTGCATCACCAGAGAGTGCCCGGAGCCTTGGCTGATGCGCACGTCGCCCATCGTTTCCGCAGGTTGGAGGCCTGGCCCCAGAATTCTCCGGTCCAGGCGAGGAGGGGGTTTACGGGGGGGTTGCACTTCCAAGGGAGTCGCCTCTGCGTGGCCACGACCATCGGACTCGCCTTCGTCTCCTCCCTGCTCCCCCTTGCACATTGTCGGCCTCACAGCCCTCACCAAGCACCCCACTCATTCCCTGCACGCAGCTGTGGTGGATGGGGAGATCAAGGACATTAGCCTGTCAGACTACAAGGGCAAGTATGTGATCCTGTTCTGGTACCCCAAGGACTTCACCTTTGTGTGCCCCACTGAGATCATCGCCTTCAGCGACCGCGCCAAGGAGTTCCAGGGCCTGAATGCCCAGGTGTGGGTTGAGGGTGGGAGGCTGAGGGAAAGAGGAAATGCATCGTGTGGCGGCCACTAGGGCTTATCGTGAGACTCCCGAGGCCCTGACCGGAGGCCAGACTGGGATGAAAGTTTCGGCATGCATTGCGTCAAGGCCCCAGCTTCCTCGGCCAAAAGAATCAGTAATGCGCCACCTTGTTCCTCCTTTCTTTCAGCTCATTGCCGCGTCAACAGACACCCCAGAGGTGCACCTGGCCTGGATCAAGACCCCGCGCAAGAGGGGTGGACTGGGGTACATGCAGATTCCCATCCTGGCGGACGTGACAAAGGTGACATTCATGTGGGGCTTGCATAAGAAAGAGAGAGGCTGGGTGCAGCGCACCTCCCTCACAGGAAGCAAGCGGGGGATGTGGCCCTTGATGCCATGCACTGCAGTCCCTCCCTGTCCCTGACGCCATCCATGCCGCCGATCTGCAGTCCATCGCCGCCCGGTACGGCGTTCTGAAGCGGGACGCCGGCATTGCGCTGCGTGGCCTCTACATCATCAACCCAGAGGTGCTTGGGGGTGGGGGTGGGCGTGTGGAGGCTGCAAGCATCAACTGCGTGCCCCCGACGATGCACTGGCATTGCTCCTGGCGGGGAAGTTCTGGCACTTGCATGCTGCTCGGCTGCGGCACCTTGCACGGCTGACAGCTCATCCACCCAGCCTTTCCCCCTACTGCGCTCCCAGGGAGTGATCGAGCACATCACCATGAATAACTTCCCCATCGGGCGCAATGTGGACGAGGCCAAGCGCACCCTGCAGGCGAGCTGCATGGCGGAAGGGGAGGGGGTGGTTGGCCCACATGGAGAGAATCAAAGTGTGCCTGAGGCTCATGGCCGTATGCCACCCGCTCCTCTCTTCACAGGCCATCCAGTTTGTGGCCGAGCACGGCGAGGTGTGCCCCGCCAACTGGACGCCAGGCGGTGCCACCATGCACGCCGATCCCGAGAAGTCGCTGGAGTACTTTGCGACTGCTGAGGAGGTGAGTGGAGGGGGGCGGGGGGCAGGACAGACGGTGCCTTGTGAGTGGATGGATGCACGCGCAGGCCGCCCGGCCAGATAGGGCCACTGACGGGCCCTGATCAAGGCCGCATGCGAGACTGTTTGTTGGTCTAAACTGTCGCTGGCTTTGGTAGAACAGATTGTTGAGCTCTGTCCCTGTCTTCCTTTCTTCCCCAATCGCAGTCAGGAGATGATGATGAGGAGACGTCCAGCCTGGTGCACGTCACCAACAAGAAGCAGTATGAGAAGGAGGTGTCCTCCGGCAAGGTCAGCAGGATGAGACATCATGTTGCCCGGGGATTGCTGGTGTCAATGACACGTAACTTCACCTCCCTCAAACCCTCGCAGGTGGCTGTTAAGTTTTGGGCACCCTGGTGTGGCAAGTGCAAGATGATCTCTCCTTACGTTGAGGAGCTGCAGGTGGGGTGTGTTTTTGACCTTGTGGATTTGCAAAGGGAAGGTCCCACGCATGTCACTTGGCTGTGTGCTCCGAGCTGGCCTGGATGCGATGCAAGGCGTTGTCCATGTACAATCGCACCCCAGAATGGCCCACAGAGGTTGACGAGCTTTCTTTGGCAGGCACAGTGGCCTCGATACCTGCACAGGCCCCCTCTCTCCCATACCCATTCTCAATCGCTCCCCATGCGTCACAGGAGACACACAAGGGCGTCAAGTTCCTGTCGTTTGATACCACGGAGAAGCAGCTGGAGGGCCTGTCCACTGAGCTGGGAGTCAAGGCTCTGCCAGCCTTCAAGTTCTACAAGGTACGGGTTGTGGTATGGGGTGTCGGGGTCGGAAGGTGACGAGTTTGTCTGGCATCCTTGTGCAGTGGACCTTGTCGTAACTCAGCCCCCTCGCCCCTGCAGGATGGGAAGGAGATCATCGACGCGGTGACTGGCTACAAGAAGGCGCCACTAGCTGCTGCAGTGAAGAAGCTGGAAGACCTGTAGATGCCCTGGAATTGCTGCATGTCAGCATGCACCCGCGGATTTTGGTAGGGTGTTCCTTCCCCAGCGAATGTCATCGGAAACCGAAAGGGGACCCCCCCCAAAGAGTCTGCGCGCGCGCACGGAGTCTGCAGTCACCAATTTCCCAGAGAGTAACGTGAACATCGGGAGTAGGAGCGCAATCGATCTCGCAGCTTTGTATCTGGAAGTTGGTATCATATTGGTATTTTCCAGGGCATCAAGGCTCAGGGTTCCCCATGCTGCACGCCCTCTCCCGTGCCGCGCGGTCGGTGGGCCCGCGGACCCTCACCCCGGCCCAGGCACAGCAGCTGCGCTTCCTGAACATCCACGAGTACCAGGTGGGCATAATGACCTGGATCATGCACGTTGGATGAGCGCCTGGGCTCTGGGCGGCGTTTGTGGTTGAGTCTCGGCAGGCAAGCGGGCATCGCACAGCCTGGTCCAGGCATTACGTTCACATGTCTCCTCAGATCAGCATCAGCTCTGCAATTGTTCAATGTGCGCTCCCCACCTGCACCGACCTGCAGGGTGCGGAGCTGATGAGCGAGTATGGTATCAACGTGCCGGAGGGCAAGGCCGTGACCACCCTTGAGGAGGTCCTGCCGGCTGCCAAGGCGCTGGCCGACGACAAGAACGAGGTGAAGCGGCATGAGTTTGGGTTTGATTCTTATTTACTTTGTTGCAGCCAGTGCGCCAAACGGGCTGCCACTCCACCTCATTCAAGATCCTTGGGGACCCCCCCGACCCCACACACACACACACTCGCGCACAAAGGTCGTCATCAAGTCCCAGATCCTGGCGGGCGGGCGCGGCCTGGGCACCTTCAAGTCCGGCTTCAAGGGCGGTGTGCACATCGTACCCGTAGACAAGGCCCGCGAGGTTGCCGCAAAGATGCTGGGCGGCACGCTGGTGACCAAGCAGTCCGGGGAGAAGGGCAAGCCCGTGAACACGCTGTACCTGGCACGCAAGATGGCGCTGGAGCGGGAGATGTACTTTGCCATCCTGCTGGACCGCAAGACCTCCGGCCCCGTCATCATCGCCTGCAGCGAGGGAGGCACCAGCATCGAGGACCTGGCCGAGAAGTTCCCGGAGAAGATTGTCAAGGTGAACGTGGACGTGTTCCGGGGCCTGACCCCCGACCAGGCACGGGAGGTGGTGGCAGGCCTGGGCGTGCGCACCGACCCCGATGCCGCTGCGGAGCAGATCCAGGGCCTGTACCGCCTCTTTGTCGAGCGCGACTGCACCATGGTGGAGGTCAACCCGCTGGCGGAGACGGCGCAGGGCCTGATCGCGGCCGACGCCAAGCTTGGCTTCGACGACAATGCCGCCTTCCGCCAGAAGGACCTCTTCGCGCTGGCCGACGCCAGCCAGGAGGATCCGCGCGAGGTGGAGGCGCACAAGTACGACCTCAACTACATCGGCCTGGACGGCAGCATCGGCTGCATGGTCAACGGTGCGGGCCTGGCCATGGCCACCATGGACATCATCAAGCTGCGGGGCGGCTCCCCCGCCAACTTCCTGGATGTCGGCGGCAACGCCTCCGAGGAGCAGGTGGACTTTGAGGGATTCTTGGGTGGAGGGGGGTTGGGAAAAGGGGGAGAAGATGGGTTGAACGGGAGCTGAAAAGTGGGCAGGGTGTGTGTGTGGGTGGGGGGGGGGGGAAGCTTGGAACAGGCTTCTGGGTGGCGCAGAAGCTCTAGGCTGGTTCCTGGCACCGAATATATCCCTTCTCACATAATCCTGAACCGGTAACCCCCCCCCTCCCCTGGGTAAAAACACCCCCACCACACCATGCACAACACTCCAGGTGGTGGCGGCCTTCAAGCTGCTGACCTCCGATCCCCAGGTCAAGGCCATCCTGGTCAACATCTTCGGCGGCATCATGCGCTGCGACGTGATCGCCTCGGGCATCGTGAACGCGGCCAAGCAGGTGGGCGTCAAGGTCCCTCTGATCGTGCGCCTGGAGGGGACCAACGTGGAGGAGGGCAAGCGCATCCTGCGGGAGTCGGACGTGGACATCATCGCCGCCAACGACCTGGACGATGCCGCCAGCAAGGCCGTGGAGTCCCTCCAGTGAGCAAGTGATCCAGAGCGCGCAGCACGCCCGCCGCACGCCGGGGGGCGCCTTTGCCCCTCCCCGCTCCTGAATGCCACGGACAAGGGGCCTTGTAAAATGTTACACGTCGCCTCGCTACAACTAGTGATTCGCGTGGAGACAGGAGGCGCGCCGAGGCGGGCCTTCGTGGTCGCGACCTAGCAAACCCGCGAGGACATCGAGAGGCCGCAACAGGAGAGCTGCAGGAGTGTCTCGGCATATATCTATATTTTCAGCGAGAATACGACTTGAAGCCAAAGCCTGCGCCAGTCTAGCATTGATAGGACCTCGGCGTAGACCTGATGAACCGCCCAGCGGGCGGGGCTCGGCCTGTGACCACAGCGACTGCTGATCCATGCTAAATCGTTTTTCCTTACTGAAAAGCGTCGTGGGTCTCTGCAAAGACATGCCGATGGCCACGGCAGTCTACGCCAGGACGCCCTTCTCGAGCACAGCGAGACCCGGGCGAGGTGTGTGGATGCGTGTGCCACTTTACATAGGTCTGCAGGCCGCGAAACGTTGTTGGTTCAGATTGATAGAACCTTCCTTCGGATCCCACTCATCAACCTCTGACCGCTCGCGGCCTGCAGGCTCCGGAGTAACACGAGGATTGGCACACCTGTGCTCTACAGCAGGCAGCAATGTGCAACCTAGGGCACCTACGGGCAGTGGCCCTTGCCGTGATAGCCAAGCCTCGTGGCTGACGCACTGGAGGAGCGTGGACGAGTTGCACCAGATCACAGACGCCTGGAATCAGGTGCGGACCGAGAAGATGTGGCAGCGGGCCCCGAGCGGCATGGAGGACCTAGGGGATCCCTGGGGAGGAGCAGTGGCGCCAACATCAGCAGAGCGGCAGGGCAGCGACCCATCTGAGGACCTTGCTTGGATGGCGTCCCTACCTGATGATGCTCAAGTACAGGTGAGGGCTGCTGTGTCGCGGCCCCTGAAGCAGCTTTTGGGTGCTGTCGAGGCTGTTGTGCCTCGGTCTCTGCGCCCATGCTGATGTCCACTTCTAGCATCGTATATGACATGCCTTCTGACCGTTTCTACCCCCCTCCCCCGCAAAGCCTGATGCTGGAGGCAAAGAGGGAGGGGTCGACCATGTACTGCTGCGTGTCAACCGCCAAGTTGTGAGCGTCAGGCCGTCATGGATCACTATTGTCCAGGACTCCGCCGTGGGAATGTCGAGGTGAGGAAGAGTGCAGGTTGTCATGACCATAGCTCCATGGAGACTTGATTTTCTTGGAGAGGGAGCAACATGTTGCAAGGATGGCCTCCTGTACACCGCGGCTTTCTTCCCATGTTCTTCCAGATTGTACGCCTCAAAGGAGCTCCTTACCAGCAATGATGTGAACGTACTGGGAACAGTCTGCGAACCCTTCTGCACCGTCGAAAGTGCCCCCTTTCTCCAAGATGACATGCCCGCCGTTGACCTGCTGCGCTATTACGTGGGCTTTGTGGGCGATGTGGGGCCCACGGAGGAGGACATCCTCTGGCCCAACCAGGTCTCTGTTGGGGTGCAGCTTGGGAGCAGGCCATCGTGCCGACCCTGCCTGCCATCGCCAGCATCTGCACACGATTACCCTCCTACTCCCAAACGCCTCCGCAGGTCCTCCACCGCGACCGTATCCTGTTCAATGTGCGAAGCGGGGAGGACATCGCGCGCTTCCTTTCCTCCCCGAACCTAGAGGCGGTGCTCGAGCACGGCGAGAACCTGCGTCGTATCGCGCTCGAGCGTGGCTACCACATGGGCTGGTGCTGGCAGATGCTGCGGCTGAGGTGGGGCGGCGCGACGCTCGCCGACCTGAAGCTGCGCAAGGCCGATTTTGTATAGCTGCTTGATGTTCCTGGGCGTGCCATGCCCCGGGTCCCCTTGTACAGATGTGGTGCGCTGGAGTCAGGAGCAGAAATGCATTCCCTGCGCGGTGCTGAGCACGCCTCCTGCCTCACGCTGAGTACACCACTCATTTTTCCAGTAGACGGGGTTTGTGCATCCGCTTGAAACCCCCCCTGGCCTGCTGCCATGTCAAGTGGGTTTGACGGGACCAAGGGCACAGGCACACTCAGCACACAGGCGGGATCTCCAGGGGCCAACCTCAGCAAGTGAGGCGCAAGTCAGAGGGTGCCTTCCGTCCCCGTCCCATGTTACTTGATGAAGGGGAGCACCTGCATCGCGTTCCGGTCCATGCCTGCGCAGGCCGTGACAAAGCGCTCCAGGCTCTGGCTGCACAGCTTGTTGGAGGTGCCCAGCTCGTCGATGGAGTGGGGCCAGCCCAGCACGACCCCAAGGCCGTCCTGATCCTGCTGCTGCGCAGGCGCCGCCCGCGCTGTCACGAGGATGGTGGATGCGACCTTTGAGGAGGGACGTGGCAGGCGAGCCGCGAGGCACACGCCGCTGTCATCGCGGTCTGCATCCCTCCCACCCCTCCTACCCTCCATCCAGTTGACCCTTGCCTCCCAGCAACCCAGGCACCCATCCCCAGCACACCCAGCACTCACCCCCCTTGTTGACCGCGGCCTTCATGACGTGCAGGGCCCAGCATCCCAAGGAGGTGCAGATGAAGGGGGACAGCACGCCAGCGAAGCGGGCCTGGTCCGCCTCCCCGAAGCTGGACCCCAGGTCCAGCTCCTCCACCTGCGCAGGGTAGGGTGGGTGACGTGAAGGGGTGAAGGGTGGGTATCGTGTCAGGCACCAGCTTGACTCCATGAGTCAACGGCCCCCCCCCCCCCCTATATGAGAACCCGCCCACCTCAAACAGGGCCCTGAGGATGAGCAGGCCCGCCGCCTGGTATTCCTCGCTCCCCCGCTCCACGGTCTCCACAAAGCGCTGCAGCACCCAGCGTCCGTGGGCAGGGAAGGCGCGGAGCGCCACAATGCGCACCAGCGCCGGCGCCCAGGACATGTCGCGCGACGTCGGGTCCTGCAGCGCCTGCGCCACGGCCATGTAGGCGCAGGCGACCTCGGGCCAGCCCACCGCCTCGCAGGCCAGCGCCAGCGACTGGATGGGGAAAGGGGCCAAGCTGTTGTTGCCCATCCTGGTGGTGCTCTCCATCATCCAGGGGAGCGTCGGGGGAATAATCTGCGCCCCTCCAAAACCTCCACCCTCTTCCCTGTTTCAGATCCCATAAATGAGGCCAGAGCAGCCTCCAAGCAGAGTGCAGACGCCAGCAGTGGCCCTCTCAACACCACCTTCCCGGCAAGGGGACCCCAGCACCTCGTCGCTTCCGCCCCCTTTCACCCCACACATACCTCCACGAAGCAGGAGATGTCGGCGGTGTGGGTGCCGGCGGCGATGTGGACGTGAAGGGAGGGCAGCGTGGCCGCGATGGTCAGCACCAGGCCCAGCAGGGTGTCGCCGAGCACCGCCGACAGCGTGTCGCCGACCGGGCTGCAGATGCTGCTGTCGCAGAGGTGGGTGCTGGACACGCACTCCCCCGCCGAGGCCAGCGGCGCCGCCGACTCCTCCTCGGCCGCCACCTGGGCCGCCAGGGCACCCAGGACCTGGTGGGAATGGGGTGTAGGAGGGGAGGGGAGAGGGGTGCGGGGGGGTGGCAGGGATGGGCGCAGCAGGCCCCCCCCTTGCCACTGCATTCAGAAGAAAATGTAAGCTCTGGTGTGCGCCCTCGGGAACCACAGGAACGGTGCAACACCAGCCCTGAATCCCACCCATGGCCACCCACTCCCATTCCTCCCTGCATCACCCTCCAGCCACCTTGAGCGCCACGATCTCGGTGTTGGGCTGGAACAGGCCCTTGATGATTAGCTGCTGCAGGCACACCAGCTGGCAGGCCTCGTCGGCGTCGCCCAGGTCATGGAACAGGTTCTCCCCCAGCTCCCAGCGCGCCAGCTGGCCGCGCGTCCCCGCCTGCACCGGCTCCCGAGCCTGCACCGGCTCCTGGGGCCGGGAGCAGGCGGACAGGGCCAGCAGGCTGCCGCGGATGAAGCTGTCGCTCAAGTCCAGGTTCTGCAGGGCCTGTGTGTTGCATGGGCCAGGGTGTGTGGAGGTTTGACTTCCAGAATCGACGCCCGTGACGGGCAGATCATTATGGCATGACCGCCTCCTTTACTGCGGACAAAAATTGAGTATCTCATTGGGCCCCCCTGGGTCAAATCCTTTGTTCCAATCCTCCTCACCTCCAGCAGCACGGCCATGGTCAGCTCCCCGATCTTCACCACGCTGCTGTTCAACAGGGAGACCGCGGCGAGGAGGAGCTGGGGGTAGAGCAGGAACTTGGCGGGCTCGATGTTGGATAGCAGCTCCTTGAGCGTGCACAACACCTCCACTGCCGTGTCCAGCTTCTGCGCGGAGCGCAGGGCGAGGCGAGGCGTGAGTGTGCTGAGACACTCGGTGAATGACATGAGGAGGGGGAGTCGGTCCGAGCACACACATGGATGCCTCTGAGGCAACACATGGGGCAGGTGTGAGGCTGTGCGGGAGCGGACATGCGAGCACCTACCCACTCCTGTGCCCTGCGCACCTGCAGGTCGGCGTTGATCATGCACTTCTGCAGCGCTGCCAGCATGGCATTGCACGACAGGCTGCTCAGCGTGGGGCGCAGCGCGCAGAAGATCTGCAGGCGGGCGGAGCAGAAGGAAGGAGGGAAGAGGCTGGAGGTAAAGAGCTAAATCTTGTGGGACAGGAATCGCACACATTCAGGCGGCATGCAAGCAGGTGATCTGGTGTTTACCCCTCGGAGATATCCACACCTGGTGCGAGCGGCTGGCCAGGTGGCGGGAGTGGGCGGCGCAGGCCCACTTGAGGGCCTCGCCCCACCACCGCTCGCGCAGGTCGGTGTCAAAGTGGAAGCAGCGCACCACTGTGTGGTTTTCGAGTTTTAGAGGGAGCATGCAAGTGGGAGGGGAGTGAGACGTTATGTCCGTCATTGCCATCATCAGCATAGCAGCGTCAGGCATGGCCTCCCAGCATGTGGGCATGGCTGAGTGCCCCACCCGTCCAGCTGCCCCCGCATCCTACCACCACCTCACCCTTGTTCACGAAGGAGGCCACCATGGCTGCGCTGGGAATAAAGGGGTTGACCAGGGTGGGGCGCTCGCGCTGCCACAGGGGCTCGCCGTCCTTGGCCTGCAGCGCCTCGATGAGGGAGGAAAGCGTGGCGTACTCGCCCGAGCGCCGGTCCGCGCCGGGGCCGAGGTGCTTCAGGGCCAAGCTGTAGAGCAGGAAGACGAGCAGGCGCGCCGCCTCCCTCCGCACCAGCAGGCTCGAGCTGTCTGCGAGGGAAGGAAGGCACAGAGTGTGGAAGGGGAGAGGGGGTCAAGCTTTGAGTGGAGGGTGGATGAGGCAGAGATGGTGTGGATGAGGGTGAGAGGTCAGCAGAGGGCACGCTGCACTCTCAGCACCAGCAAGACACACTCTGAGTTGCTGCCGACCTCTCCCTAGCCCTCAACTCCCCCGCTCGCCCACCTGAGTTCAGGGTGGCGGCATGCAGGAGCACGTGGAGGTGGGGCCGGAACTCCTCGTCCTGCTCGATGGCGACCTCGCTCAGCAAGATGAGCGCCACCTCAGCACGCGTCAGGTAGACCCTGGTTGGTTTTGGGGGTGGATAAGGGTCCAATCGGTGGGAATGCCGTCAGTGCCAGGTGCTGTGATGCCGGCGGGCGTGCAGGGGCGCGGCACTGGCCCCTTCTACCCATGGCTCACCGTGAGTTCTCGGAGCCGGCCTTCTTCTCGTCCAGTGAGGTGTGCCGGCCCACCCCCGACTCGCCAGCAAAGCTGGTGGACGAGGCCTCCGACCGCCCAGACTTGCGCCACAGGTACTGGTCCATGGCCTCGCTCTTCTGGCTGGAGATGGTGCTCTGGTACTCCAGGATCTGTGGGCGGGCGAGTGTGCGCGACTCTGCGTGCCTCCAGGCAGGAGAGCAGAACCCAGGGGACAGGGCGCTGTCGTACAACTCCCCACCCCACCCGGCCCAAGCCTCGCCTTGGGCGTCTGCGGGGTGGACGGTGTGCGCGCGTCCAGGGAGGGGTGCTCCTCCTCGATCTGCTTCTCCAGCTCGTAGGTCAGGTGCTCAATGGTCTGCCGCGGCGCGATGCGCGCCAGGAAAAGCGCCGCCTGCTTCCCCGTCCTGAACGTCGTCAGCTCGGCTGCCGGAGGTGCGAGGGGGGGGAAGGGATTGTGGAGGAGTGTGAAGGGGAAGACGACGCCAAAGAGACACCAGGCGTCAACGGTCGCCCATGCCACCTTCAGCGCAGCCAGGTTCAACCTCACAAACACTACATTCACCCTTCTGGTGGTTCTCCTGCAGGCTCTTGTTGAGCAGGAACTCCAGCACGGGGACGACATTGCGGCGATTCTCGGCAATGGTGGACCAGAGCTGCTGGATCTGGTACCCATGCCGGCTGCTGCGCTTGGTGGTGGTCTCGAACAGCAGGTTCAGGAAGGCCTCCGCCCACTCGCCCTGCCACTGCGTGCTCAGCGTGATCCTGGCCAGCCAGGGGCAGAGGCACAGCAGCGCCTCGGAGTCTGGTGTGGTGTGTGATGGGAGGGACGGAGGGGTTGACAGTGATGTAATATGCAAAACAGGAGGGGTATTATCGGTGTAGTTTGGCATCTGGAGGGCCGCCCTCGGACCATGGCCCTCCGAAGAGTCGTCATGGTTTCAGACCCACGCCAGGAAACCCCATTTCTGAAGTCCGTTTCCCAGAAGAGCCCTCGTCTCCTCCACCTCCTCACACCCCTCCTCGCACCGGTGTCGTTGGTCAGCTGTCGTTTGAGCACCTCGATGGCCAAGGCCTCGCCGATGCTGGTGTACTGCTCCGCCAGCTGGGCCGACAGAGACATCTGGTACGCCTTCTGTGACACCGTCAGGGCACCCACCACTACCAGGGCGTCGGGAGACTGCAACAGGAACCGGAGAAAGAGGGGCACAGGCTTGGGAGGGTGGCACGGCTTGCTCGCATCCATCCTGATGTAAGATATTCGATGGAGAGAGGCCCTTGCATTCCCAAGTACCCTTACTCCCAATTCTCCCAGGCACTCACTGCCAGTCCCCTTCCCCAAATCGGCCCCCCCCTCACCTCCTCCGGCGCCTCCACCTCGTGTGCTGGCTTTCCTTCTCCCACCGAGGCGTGCTGGCGCATGATGCCCAGCAGGCTGCGCGCCGCGGAGCGGATGCCCGGGTCGGCGTCCGCCACCTTGTGCAGCACCAGGCTGACGAGGATGTGGCGCTGGAGGGGCAACACGCCGCTCATCGTGCCATACACCTCCGCCAGCACCTGGCGGGCAGGGGGAAGGAGGGCCGAGACTGTGATTGGGAGTCGTCAGAGTCCCGGAGTTCCTGCAATAAACCACGTGACTGATACTGTGGAGTTGAGCTCAAGTGTCTCCCCTCTGACTCACAAGCCCCGCAGACTGACCAGTGAGCCCCAGCGTGCCTGCAGACCACTGTATGTATGCTGAACACAGCTTTCCCAGCCCCAAACTCAAAGCCCGACTGCCAATACTTGCCTTGAAGAAGCCAGAGGCGACGGCCAGCTCCTTGGAGTAAGAGCGGTTGACGTAGACAGCAGCCAGTTCAGGGTTGGAGGTCAGCAGGTTGCGCAGAGCGGCGCAGCCCACCCAGTGTGTGTCCGGACCCCAGCAGTGCCGGCCCTGGGCTCCCGGCTGCAGCGTCTGACGATGCGGGGAGAGGCATCGGGGAAAGCGGAGGGGGGAGGGGAGTGAGTTCTGCGCACCTTCACGATGGAGCTGCGATGCTTATCCGTAACCCCACGGAGTCCTCCCAACCAGCTCAAACCTCCCCCCCCTCACACTCCACAACATTCCACCTGGGGCTTGGCCAGCATCCTGTCGATCCAGGTCAGGATGCGGCCGTGGGGGTTGCGGATGTCTGCATTGAACAGCGCGCCGCGCAGCATCGTGGCCATGCCCAGGTAGGCGCTGAACTCCAGGTTGTCGCTCGCGCCTGCGGGTAGAAAGGAGGGAGATTATGGGTTGAGACACAATCGATAGCCTCTGGCAGGACGACGATACAGCGCGCAGTGCCCTGCGCGCGTCGTATCACAGTCCTCCACTGCGCACCCTGGATGTCGACCTCCATCTGCCGGGCGAGGTCGGGGTCCTTGATCTTGGACTTGGCCAGCAGGACGCCACGCCGCAGCTCGCTACGGAACTGACCTGCGCGGAGTACATGGTTTTCCGCAGGTTGATTGGGAAGTTTGATGGGTGAAATTTGGCAGGGGGAACTCTTGAAGGCTGGAGCGGGGGCACGGGTGTTTGTATAGGCGAGCAGACCCCTTCTTCGAAACGATTTCCTACTTGCAAACTCCTCCCCTCTCCAGCACTGAATCTCCCTCCCCACACCCCAGCCACCCGCCTCCCGCCATCCACCTGGTGTCCCCTCCTCGCAGTAGTTGGAAAACATGTCGAAGAGGGTTCGCCGCGTGTCGGCCGTGAAGTCCTGCGGCAGCGCGTCTGCCAGCTGCATGGCGCACTGCCGCGCCACGGTGCAGAGGCAGTGGCGCAGCTGCTGCAGCTCCGGCGACAGCTCGGGCAGGGTGTTGATGTGCCGTGCCGTCTCCGCGACAAACTGCACCAGCTTGCCGCGCAGCATCTGCATGTAGGTATTGCAAGGAGTGGGCGGTCAGGGGTGAGACACGAGGGGGCAAGAGAATGGGCGGGTGCACGCCCGTGCCGTCAGACAGGTGGCCCAAAGCAGACGCAGCTGCCAAGTTGGGCAGAGGCCGTGAGCAGCCGGCCGATCCAGCGCCTGGATGACGAGTGTGTCCTCCATCCCGCTCTCCCCTCCCCCTCCCACATGTCACCCATCAAGCGCCCACCTGGTTGGTCTGCAGGATCATGGGGGGCAGGTTGGCGCACAGTACGCGGTAGATGTGGGCATGCGTCAGCCTCACGTCGTCCCGGCGCAGCTTGTGCGCACGCCCCATGCCGGGCACCGACACGCTGATGCTCTGGGGAATGAGAGGGAACGTGAGCTGATGAGGGCAGGTGAGGGGCAGAAGCGTGGCCAATGTGCATCAGAACTCTTTCCTCTGCACCTTGGGGCCTGCTGGGAGCCGCACCACAGGCACTGCCCCGCAACTGCTGACCGCACACACACACACACCCAAACAAAAGAAAAGAGAGGAAAGGGCGAGGAACCTAAACCCCCAGAGCCAAACTCACGCGCTGCATTTGGCGGTCGACGAGGTAGTCCTCGGTGAGCAGCATGCACTCCTGCACCACCAGCGACTGGCAGGTGGGGTGCACATTGCCGAGCGCCATGGCGGCGATGGACTGGTGAAAGTCCAGACCCGCGCGCACGCTGGTCACCATCAGGCGCACGTAGTCCCTGGAAGGGATGGGAGGAGGGATGCAAAACGCGTGCGTCAAAGGGCAAGGGATGGGTTTCCCTGACACGTAAAAATTGGCAGCCCGGCCGGCACCCGCCCACACAGGGTCAACGCCCCCTCCCCCACACCTCCGCACCTCTTGGAGAAGACCGTCTCGCGCGGCGGGTCGGGGACGGAGGCGGGGCCGGCGGCCAGCGCCAGGCAATACACCGCCGTGGGCGCATACCGACCCTCCTGCGGCAGCGGCGGGCGCCCCGCCGAGTCCAGCACGGTCAGCGCCTGTGTTGAACAAAATATCTGGGAGATTAGCCTCTGGGTGGCACTAAAAACAGCAGGCGCGCACTCTGGCATTTCTTGCTTGCTTCTGGCACCACCGCCTGTTCTTCACCCCCCCGCATCCCCCCCCCCCCCCCTCGCATCAAGTCCTTGGCGTCTATACAGTATCTGCCACCGTCATGCCCCGACACTGACCTGCAGCTTAATGGCGATCTCGATCTGGGCCAGCTGTGCCACGTCCTGCACCCGGGCCCAGGCCTCCTTGAAGATCTCGCACATGATGCGTGCCCAGCGGAAGATGTCCTGCGGTGGTTGTTGGTGGGGGGAGACAACTGTGATGCGTCTCAGGGCCAAGACCATCCTTGATATTCATTGAACATCACATGGTGGCAGCCTGCCCCCATGGAGAATGCATGCACAACACCCTTCCCCCCACACCACTGCACCTCCCAAACAGCCCAGCAGCCTTGCCTCGTTGGACTGGCTGATGCGCATGCACCTCTCCAGGGTCAGCGGGCCGGGGGGCAGCGGCCGCCACAGCCGCCAGATGTCGGACCAGCGCCCGATGTCCCAGTAGCACTCCCTCACCACCGCAGGCCCCTGCCTGCGCATCCAGGGTAGGCGTGATGTACGAATTTTAGGTGATGGCGGCACACATCTGGCCAAAGACCCCTTGCTCGCCCCCATCAGCCAGTTCTACCTCCATGTCCCAGATCCATCCTCTTCTCAGACCCCCCTCCCAACACACAACACAACCCAAACTCACTCCTGGAAGATGTCGTGGACGTAGACCTGGCGGCGCGCGGACCGGGCGGGGCGCACCGAGCCGCCGCCGCCGTATACCTCCGACTCGGCGGCCGCTGTCGACAGGCCGTGCAGGTCCTTGGTCAGGCGGGCCAGCTGGAGCGCCAGGCCCCGCACCTGGGTGCTGTTGGCGCAAAGGAGTGCCAACGCGGCGGCCTCTACAGCCTTGAGGCTGGTCAACCCTGCGGTGGCGCCCCGCTCGCCGGCCGCTGCCTGCATCCAGCTGCGCATGAGGGCCAGCAACAGACCCAGCACCTCCTCCACCGCCTGTGACATGGAAGGAGAGGAGGCAGATGGGATTTTCTACCGTTAAACAGATCCGCTCGGGCCCAAGCCGCCACGGCGTTCACGTCGGGGAACCACATGCCCAGAAGTCTGTCCTCACTCCCTTCATACCTCTGGGAGGTCATCAGGGAGGCGGACGCAGAAGGAGGCCATGCTGCTGACCAGCTGGTCGCGCTTGGAGGGCAGGCCCGTGAGGCAGCGGTGCAGGACCAACACCGCCACCTGTTGGGGGTTGTGATTGGGCAAGCGTCGATGCAGCAGCCGGGGCCGGATGCATGCATGCAAGCATGTACCCAGCCAAGGCACCAAACATCTGTTCCCCCAAGCTGCTGGGACGGCTCAGCCCTGGGGTACCTCGTCCTCCGTATTCACACAGAGTCCCTCCCCCCACGCCACCTTGCGCATGGCGGGGTCGCCGTGGATGGCATAGGCCGGCAGGTCCTCCCAAAGGCGGCCGTCGGCCCAGTGGGATGGCACGACAAACGGCAGGCACTGCAGGGCGGCCACAAAGACGGGCAGCGCGCCGACCCGCTCCCGCCCGGGCACATCGCCAAAGGATCTGGGAACGGATAGGGGGTTGGTGAGAGTTGGTGGGGTCAGGGTTGCATGAGCGCTGCACCCAGGCACCTGGCGGTGCATCGCTTGAAGTGCACGAAGCGACACAGGCTCCACTCCACCCCAGCGTCCCACCGGCACAGCACCTGTTGGTGGTGCTGAAGCGCGAGTGGCCGTGCAGGTTGTGCGCCTGCTGGATGACCTTGCTGAGGGACACGGAGAGAGCGGAGAGGGCGGGCCCCATGCTCAGGGCATCCAGGCAGTTGTAGCCTGTGCATGGCAAGGTTACGAGGTTGGAGGGGAGTGATGGAATTCCATGGGGGCAAGTGCAACAAACTTACAGCCTGGTTACGTAAAGCAAGCACATAAAAAAGTACTCCTGGTCTGCAGTGCCCTTCCACCACACCACCTCACCCACCCACCCTGCTCAATGAGGGGCAGGAGGCGGTCCAGGTCGTAATTCTCCGGCAGCCAGGCGGTGCCGCCCAGCCGCTCCAGCTCCTGGGAGAAAATGAGTGTGAGGTGGTTGAGGTAACATCTGGCGCCGAGGGTTTGGGGTCCCGTGCGATGCAATGCCCTGGCTGCATGGTCTTCCCTTCACCTCTTGTCCCATGCACGATGGCCTTGTCATTCCCAGACACCCATTCCCACATCCCTGCCCCATCGAGTCTCACCCCGGCGGTGGCCGGCAGGTGGACGGGGTCGTTGGCGCCGGCCAGGCGCGCCGGCACCTCGGCCAGGAGGGTGAGGATGGCGGACACGCCAGACATGCAGGCCTCCCAGTTCATGTTCACGCCATCGTACTGCAGCAGGTCGGTGATGAGCGCCGACCCGTGCTCTGGCAGGCGCTTGGTGATGTTGACGCACAGCATTCGCACCAGCTCCTGCGAGGGGGGGGAGGGAGGGCCGGGGGGTCCGGGGTACATTTGCGGAGTATGGGATGCGTGCAGACGAGGGTGACGATAGATGAGTGCTCAAGGACCCTCGCGGTCTGGCCTTTGCACCACGAGCGGAGCATGATCCTGCCACTCAGGCCACCCGACCTCAGGCATGAGGTTGGCAGCCTCCGGGCGCGCCAATGTGGGCTGGCCCAAATACCATACATCCCCCCACACACAACATACGCTCCTTTACCAGCCCGCATCACCTGCATCTCCGGGCCGGGGAGGCCTCCTTTGGAGAAGTTTTGCAGGACCAGGCTGGTGGCCCGCGCTACCCACTTGGAGACGGTGGCGCCGTCCCAGCGCCCCGCAAATCTGAGCACGTAGGCGCAGACGCACCTGCAGATACACAGCGCGGCCACGCCGGCATTCTTCTTGTCCTGCAAGAGATTTGAGCTTAAGATGGAGTCTCGGGGCGCGGTGTGGGGTCCGTGTGGGAAGTCTGGGCGTCGCTGGTCGTCACGCATCTCCTTCAAGACCTCCCTGACCTCACCACTTACCTTGAGCTGGCGCTGGAGGAGGTCCACCATGCCGTCCACGTTGGCCAGCATCTGCTTGTCGGTCTCCATGCAGGTGAGGAGAGTGAGGAGGGGCAGCCCCGCGCTGGCCTGCTTGGCCTGCTTGGTGGTCCACTTGAGGATGTCCAGGCGCAGCACCGAGATCACCGTGAACCAGCGCCGGATCAGGCCCTGATCGCAGCCGGCGCCAAAGGACCTGCAGGTGGTGTTGAAGGAGGGGCAAGGGGTAGGTAGAGAGCAAGGGAATGAGAGACAGGGGCCGGGTCGGCGCCGGGCAGTAGATTCTGCGCAAGCGCTTGGGCTGTCGCAGCGCCTGGAGCACGCCCTGCGCCCCCCCTTCCCCACCCTTGGCCCAGCGCTCCACCCCCCAAAACACACCCTGCGTCGGCGCCGTCCACGATGGGCTGCAGGATGCAGGACAGCATGTCGCAGATGCTCTGCTGCACCCGAGACTTCTTGTCGGAGGCCACGTGCTTGAGCGGGTGGGCGGCCTCCAGGAAGGCGATGGATGCACGCAGCTGAGAGAAAAGAGGGGTGTGGGTGAGGGGTTGCGAGGGATGGGGTCCAGCTGCAGCGAGGACCCCTACATGTCCCGCCATGCTCATCGAGCCACCAGCGCTGCAGGCCCCAATCTCAACCCATCCAAGCCAGCTTTTCATGCGTACCTCTTCGGAGGTGCCGGCCCTGAGCCTGATGAAGCGGAGGCCGTTGCACAAGTTTAGCAGCTCCTGCCTGATGAAGGAGGCGGAGTCGGCCTGCAGGCGGGACCCCACCTCCTTCAGGAAGCGCGCGGTGATGTTGTCCAGGCTGGTGGCCGAGAGCACGCCCAGTAGCTCAGCCGCCTTGGTCATGACCTGGTTTCGGATGGGCAGAGGGTGGTGGGGTGGTGAGCGCCCTGGACTCCTGCACAGCAAGCCGGGGAGGGTGACCGCCATCACGAGCCCCCCTGCCGCGTCGTAGCCCCCCTGCCGCGCCGTAGCCCCACCACCCACCCACCCGGTCGCGCAGTGGGATGAGGTCTGGGAAGCGCGAGTCCACGTGTTTCTCGCCGTTGATGATCCAGTCGAAGGCCAGAATCTCGATCTCCTTGGCCTGCCCCTCGGCCAGCACTCCCCTATCCCCCGCGATCTGGATAGCGGCGTCCAGAAACATGATCTCCGTCCACATCTGCGAGAGGGGGTGTGTGGTGAGCAGCTCTGATGCCGGTGGCAGGTCTGCGGTCTCCAGGATAACTCCATGCTCCCTTCACAGCACGTCCCTCACCCTGCGCTTGGAGACCAGGGCGTCCGTCCTGCCCCCCGGCGAGTTGGTGAGCTGGCCGATCCTCCACCGCAGGATGTCGACGAATGCCGTCTCGCTGGCATCGGGGGTGGCACCCTACAGGTTGGAAAGGGATCGACTGCGATCAAAACGGGGAGGGCAGACACCTGCGCCCTTGCTACAGGACGAGCAGCCCTCTGCTGGGCTCAGGACGTCCCCAATAGATCCTCTGCCCTGAATTTACTGTCCTGAAACAACCTTCAGGCCTGCCAGGATCCTCTGCAGCTGGTCATCGTTATGGACGTGCCCGGTCTCCTGCGGTGGGTGGGCGAGCCAGGGGTGAGGGTGCACGACTCTCTCACTGTCGCAGTACGCAAGCACTCGATCCTTTCCATGTACTCTGCTCACCACAACTACGTTCGCAAACTTCTCAAACTGCTGTGCAAGGGCCTGGCCCAGCTTCTGGGAGAGTTGCGCGTTCGCCATGCGCCTGGATCAGGCGTTCTCCCTCGTCAGCGCATGAGTGTTGGGATTTTGCGGGTATCCTATGCTCAATTCCTACAAGCAACTATGCCAATTCTCAATGAGGCAAGGTGTGCGCGAGATCCATCCGATCACGCGAACTCCAACCCCCGACACCGCCGGTGGATTGCCACACCGACACACCCCCTATTGTCGATCATCAGTTGACTGAGGCCTGGAAAGCCGCAAATGCCGAGCTCAAGGCAAGCACACAAAAGTGTCACATCTGAATGAAATGTGCATATGGTGTATGTGTAAAACGACTGTAATTATTTCTTGGAAGCCTTGGGCTCCACAACCTTGAGCACCTCGACCTCCAGGCCACCCTGCGTCAACGCATGCGCCCATGCCCGCTGCTGCTCAGAAAGGCGGTCCCTGGGCCCCTTGACCTCCACCAGCTTGGCTTTCAGGCGAGCTGGGTTCCAGAGGAGTAGGTCCGGCATACCTCCTGCAAGCGTGTGGGGGGGGGAGGTTGTGTGTGAAATTGCTGCGAGGCAGGTGGGGAGAAGGACTTTGCCAACAAACCAATGACCTCATGCCAGCCCCCCAGCCAGCCTCCCAAACCAGGGCCCCACACCTCACCTGCCCAGCCGGAGTGATCCTCAGCCAGCAGCCGGCACACCACCGCTAGGCCTCTGCCCCCGACGCAGGCTGCGACGGTGAGCAGCTCCTCAAGCGGCCAGCGGTCCCACCGAATGCCGGCGCACAGCTCCCCGCAGTGCGCATCCCACACGGCTCGCAGGCGCTCCTCCACGCCGCCTGCCGCGATCTCCCCCAGGATCCGCTCGATCAGGTCCTGGGGAGGTGGAATTATTACATCAGATCGTTGCCGATGATCACGGGGTGTGCCACTCGCTGGAGGGCAGGTCTGGCAAACTTCAGGATTCCATTATTTTCAGACAGAAACAGAGCTCTCTCTGTAGCCTCATGCCCAGCCACTCTGCACCCCACCTGGCGGCCAATGTAGAAGCTCTCGGTCCTGAGGTCCAGGGGTGAGGACTGAAACGGGGTCCTGAACACGTCGGGGACGGGGGCAAACAGCGCCTCCCACAGGAGCAGGGAGAAGAAGGTCGACCAGATGCCGCCTTCGCAGTGACACCCAGTCCAGCCGCCTGCCTCGTCTCTGGCATAGTGCTGCATGATGTTCGGGTTGCAAGGCGTAAGGGTCGGGGTCCAAAATAAGACACTCCGTGCAGGCGCGCAGGCCCTCAGAGTTTGAATGGCAGATTTCCATGAGAGCAGGCCACTCCTGGACCGTCACCCTCCCCCCCCCTCCCCCCCCCTCCCCCAAGCATACACGCACCTGAAGAGCAAGCTGCTCAACCGTGCACGGCTCACCGCTCAGGCCCATGAATCTGCTCTTGAACCCGACGATGCTGGCCATGGGTCGCTGCACGATCCTGACCTCCCTGGGCTCCGGCGCCACGCTCCCCGCCCAGGCAGGCCTCTTCCAGCGCCGGGGCGGCTTGGCTGGGAGGTTACAGGGCAGTGTGATGGATTGAGAAGGGGAGCGTCGCAATGAAAGACGTGAATGGAGGGAGAACGGAGGGTCTTGCAACCCACGAAACCCTCAACACCGGCGCTGCACGCGCATTCCCAGCTTCCCAGACTCCCATTCCCATTCTTGTGGCATCCTGAATACCCCCCGCCCATCACAGACCGAGCACCCACCCAGGCGCAGGACGCGGCGCTGCAGGGCCAGGCGGTCGCCGTGGCTCAGCCAGTCGTCGGCCAGGCCGGCCTCCGCCATCTCCAGCGCCTCTCCCACCCTCCCCAGGTGCTCGAGGTTGATGGACAGCCGGATCCACCAGTCGCCCCGTCTCGTCCCGCAGTACACGCCGCCTGAAACGAGAGGATGCAGGGGTGTGAGGTGGGCGCCTTGGTGTGGCGAGTGGGGATGCACTCCACTCCTCTTGGTAGTTCCACCGCTTCCCTTCCGTGGCGTCCCACCTAGCAGCTGCTGGAGGCGCTCGATGGCCAGCACATACTCCCGCTTTTTCTCCAGCAGCGACACCCCCGCCGTCGCCATCAGGCAGTGCACCCAGCCTGTGCTTGTGCAGAAGGGAGGAGTGTTGCCACGCGTTTTCGAGGGGCCAATGGCGACGCGGTACTGGCTAGGCCATCCGTAGGGACCGAGTGCTGATTCAGATTCGACACTCGAGGCTCACACCCTCTCGTTCTTGCCTGCCTGGAACCGGGACAGGAAGAGGAGGCTGGACTGCTTGGAGAAGGACTGCTTGAGAGGGCTGGGCAGCTGCTTGTGGCGGTTGGCGTCCAGGCTGCGCCAGATGCCCTCCAGCTCTGCCTCCGCGGCCGCCTCATCCCCGGCCTGCAGCAGGAGGGCAGGGGAGGGGTGCATCGGGTCTGCGCTATGTCTGACCCTCCTGCCCACAGCCAATCCCCTGCATGCAGTCCATGGGCTGCCCCCCCTGCGTGCGCCACGCCAAGACACACACAGGGCCATGCAGGGCCCGGGGCCACCACCCTCCACGGACCTCCAGCGCGTCCATGAGGCGCGCCGCGGCCTGCAGCGCCGCCTCGTACTCCAGCAGCTGCCGGCGGCTGGACCACACGGCCTGCTGGCGGTGCACGAGGTACCGCGGGTACTGCAGCGCGCCGGCGTGCGCGGCGAGGAAGTGCGACAGGCCCTGGTCCTCGGAGAGGAAGAAGAGGCGCTGGAGGCGGGTCACGACTGCCCGCGCCGCCGCTGCCACGCGCACCAGCGGCCCCGTCTGGCGCAGCAGCGCGCCGGCAGCCGCCGCCTCGCCGTGCGCGACGACCGCGGCGTCCAGCCGCCGGAGCAGCGCGGCGCGTCGGCTCGGCGGCTGGATGGCCGTCCGCCGCGCGCCTGGCCCTGCGCAGGCCTCCAGCCCCGCGCAGGCCAATTGGAGCTCCCGGGCCGTCGCCACGGCGGCCAGCGCGGCGACGTCGTGGAAGGCGCCGGCGTCGCCGGCCTCGGCCGGCGACGCGCGGGTCTGCGCCAGGCCCGCAGCGCACAGCTCCCCCACCGCGGCGGCCGCGTCGGGGACCTCGGGGTAGTCGAGGCGCTGGAGCCGGAACCAGGGGCCCTTGCGCAGGAAGAGGCGCAGGAAGAGGGCGGCGGCCGCCGCCGTCAGCGCCTGTGTGTGGGTGCGGTGTGTGTGTGTGCGTGGTGGGGGTGATCCCAAGGGCGGCCGGGGCCGGAGATCCGGTCAAGAGATCACAACACCCCGCCTGATGCACACTCCCGCCTCGTCATCACACCCACCTACCCGCCTCTCAGGGGCCCCCTCAACACACACTCAAACACTCACGCTGAAGGTCTCGCGGAAGTCTCCCTCCTCCCGGTCCAGCAGCCGCGCGTCCTCCCGCCACACCGCCTCCAGCACGCGGTCAAAGTTGGCGCGCAGGCGGTCGCCGCTGGCGGCCGGCTGCGTGGCGGCCTGGAGGCGCAGCGCCGCGGCGGCCACGGCCTGCACATCCGCCTCCTGGTCGGACAGCAGCTGCACCTGGGGATTGCAAGGGTTTGATCCAGGGTGTGCTTGGGGATAGTGTGATCCTGTCGAGGGTGGGGATGGTGTGGGGGAGTTCCCTCCCACCACAGGATCGTGGTGGCTCTGGCAGCCGGCCCTCATCACCCCCCTTCCGACCTCACCCACACATCCACCACGATACAAACACGCGACCCAACGCCCGGCCGCCCCCACCTGGAACTCCACCGGTACGGAGGCACGGCTGGAGGCCGGGGCCTCCAGCACACACCCCTCCACCGCCACCAGCTGGGCGGCCAGCAGGGGCCCCAGCAGGCGTGCCACCTCGCGCGGGACGTGCCCCAGAGCAGCGCCCGACCCCGCGTCCAGCACCAGCGTCGCGTGTTTGTCCCTGGGGTTGTCGGCCTCCAGCTCCAGGCACACCGCCTGGGTGGGAGGCAAGGGGTTGGGACTGCGTGGGGTTCGGGGAAGACATGACTCGGGGGCATGATTGTGCCAGTCGGGGACGGCCCAGGACTCAAGCCGGCGCCTCATTTCCCCCTGCACCTCGCTCCCAACACGGACAGCACGCCACCTGGCCACAGTCGCAGGCGTGGGGCGACTGGAAGGAGCGGCCCACGATGCGACACGTGAAGGAGCAGGCGGTCTGGCTTTGGCTGCAGGACTGGGTGAGGTCGGGGGCGCCGGACGGCGCTGGGCCGGGCGGGGTGCTTGCTGGCGCAGTGCCTGCCCCAGCCGCAGCATCCCTTCCCGCTGGTACCCGGGCCGCCGCGAACGACTTGATGCTGGACTGGGTGCGCCCCCGCCGAGCCGCCTCCTTGAACAGACACTTCTCTGCGTGTGAGTGTTTGGGGAGGAGGGCCTTGTGTTGCAGAGGGCCACGAATGGTATGAGGCATCCAAGAGCACAGCGCTCATGAAGGGATGTCGGATCAATTCCAATCTCAGAAGGCAGCTTGCATGCATCTGGACCACCCTGGTGCATCCAAAGGGCAGGCCCCACCAATGTGAGCGTCAATGGCCTGGGGGTCTTTGCTCAGGGTGGACTGGCACAAGGGACAGAGGGCGGTGCCCGGCGCTGGGGGGTCGGCAACACGTCCATCAATGACCCTTGGCCTCTCCTCGCCCTGGCCAATCCCGGCTGGGGTTGCCCTGTCGACCTGCTTGGGCACCACACGCCGTCGTCCAACCTCACGTCCCAGCAGCTCCTGCAGGGATCCAGTCCCTCTCAGCATGAGAGTGTTGCCAAGATCATGGGCGGGGCGGATCTGGGCGCGTGTGCTGACGAGCTGCTCGCCGCAAGGGCTCTCGACGAGTCATGTCATGAATGCATACTGGTCGCGAGGGAGACCCACAATGCTCATCCTCATCGGCGGTCCAGAGGATGGCCTGTACATCGATGGCAGGATTTCATGTTGCCTTGGGCCGTCGCGTATTGCCGATCGCGTCGTCATTGTGTGTGGTACACGCATTCATTATGGCGAGCACCGTTGTGGATCGAGGCCTATTACCATCCGCTCCTTGGCTTTCATCTGGACGCCGAATCCAACTGAAACCTTTCAGCGCCAAAAGCCAAATGCCGAGACCGCGCAATCGGTGAGCAGCTCACACACCGCGCCATAATCACGTGGGTTGGGGCTCACCGTTTGATAAGCGGCATTTTTATATAACAGGGTTGACAAACAGAGGGGCTGCATTGTTATGGTTGTCGCTCGAACAGTGTATACTATTCCACAATTGTTTCGGAGGTTGTCTAAGAGGTTTTCGAGCAGTTGCGGCGGCATCTCGATGGGTGAAGGCGTCGCATACTCGAGTGTAGTTGCTTGCCATGGACGCACAGGTTGCACCTGAGCCAATGCCAGATAAAGTTGTGCACAACATACCGGCAATGGATCTGGAGACTGGTGAAAAGACCGCCCGAGCGCCGGTTGGACAGCAAACCGGCTGGCGCATCCTCAAACCCTTTTCACAATTGGACGACAAGCGCAACTTAATAAGGTGAGGGGTGTCTGACTTGCACAGAGTACCCAATGACCCCAAAGTGTACACAACTGTGACAGGATGGAACCACATTGCGCCATTAGGAGCCAAGGAGTTCACTTTAAGGGCTCCCTGCTCAGCCCGCGGACCTCCAACCCTGTTGCCGCATTGTATCTCATGCAGGAAATTCTCGCCGAGCATGTTCTTGCTATCCACTTGCACCGGTCTGATCGGGCTGCTCTTCAGCGTCAACCCCTACCTGTCCACAAGCTGGTCGACCCCTCTTGCTTTCGGCTTCTGGTGGCTCAGCGTCGTCCTCTTCCTCATCTGCCTGACCATGGTGTCCCTCAGGTGGGCGCTGCGGGCCGGGTGACTACAAATGTATAGTTGTCAACCATGGCATTGCCACCTGTGAAGGAAGGTGGCTAAGAGTTGTGACAAATGCACCCTTTGCACGCCAATCAGTCCACCCAAACCATGCACTGCTGTGCAGGTGCATCCTCCACTGGGAGACAATTGCCATCCTGCCCAAGAACCACTCCTTCGATCTCTTCTTTGCTGGCTACATCCTCATTTCTTTTGGCATCCTGGTGGAGGGGTTCGTGCGGTACTGCCCACATTACATTGGCTCCGGCTTCTACACCGTCGCCATCGTCTTCTGGGTGAGGATGAATTCATGAATAGCAGCAAACCGGCATCTGCCCTTGGACATGGGCTTCGGTCATTGCTTGACAAACCGCAGCAGAGGAAGCCAGTAGATAGTCCTCCACCATCTCTCCCCACAGTGGATTACAGCCGTCTTGTCGCACATTGCCAACATCCTGATCCCCTTCTACCTGGCCTACTACCACAGCCGCACGTGAGTGTCCTGCGTGCCTTCACCTGATAGCGTCTCTAAGCTGGATCAGGTGGTGCTTCGTGCTGTGGCCAGGTGATTTCCCTGCGCACCCCTGCCCTGGCGCTCAGCATCCTCAGCCTCGCCAATCCCTCCCCCTCCCCTCCCAAACATGTCTTGCAGCTTTGCCGAGCTGTCGACCCTCTGGCTGCTCGCCATGTTCCCCGGAGTCGTGATTGGGGTGGCAGGTCCAGTCCTTGCAGCCGCTATTCCCAGTATCTCGTGCGTGGGGAAGAATGGGGGTCTGCCTGGGAACAGGCATGTAGCGAGGGGGTCCACAGCATCATGCCAGACCCAACACTTTATCATGCGCCCACCGAGGCACTTTGCCTCAGCAGCCCCTCATGTGTTGAGGTCACCTGTGCTGTGGCGGCGGAAAGGCATATCACTGCCACCCCTACCCCTCCCTGTCCCTGCAGTCAAGCTCGGCACATCCTCTACATGACCTACCTACTACTGGGCGCAGCGCTCCCCCTGGTCCTCGTGACGCTCGGCATGCTCCTGGCACGCTTCTTCTTCATGGGTGAGCGCTGGCAGCTGGATGGGCGGATGGGGCAACTGCAACTTGCACTCCTTCACTCTGCATACATGTTGACTTCCAGGTCCGCTGCAGACCCAGTTCTGGTTCTCCACCTGCCGCCATATCACGTCACTTCCCCGCCCCAACCCGCCCCAACCCGCCCTACCCCCGCCCTGCGTGCCAGGTCTCCCTCCTGTGCACTTCATCGTCTCTGTCTTTCTCCCAGCTGCTCCCATGGCCCTCTTTGGCCTCACCTTCCTTCAGCTCGGGGTGGTGTCCACCAAGATATTCCCACCAGAGCTCCGGCATGCGCCCTTCCTTGACGTTAGTAGAGTGGCTGGACGAGGAGTGTTTGTGGGCACGTGCTGGTGTGAGAGAAGTGAGGCATTAAACATGGTTGACGTTGCAACCCTGCAGCCGCCCTGTGGCCCTTTAAAGAGCCTCAAACCCATGTAGACAGCTCCCCAGCCTCCCACGCCAACCTCTCCATTGCAGTTTGCCAATCCAGGCCTGCTCTCGTGCCTGACAGTGGTCGCCTTCATGTTCCTGGGCAGCTGCATCTGGTTCCTGACCTTTGGCATGCTGGTGTGCCTGGCCACCGCCATCAAGAACAAGGGCATCCCCTTCACCACCGGCTGGTGCGCGCGGGTGTTGCCTGGAGAGTGGGAGGTTGGCGGCTGTGAATCCAGTGCTTGAGGCTACTGAGCGATAGTCAGCAGAAAGTTTGGCAAGGACCTGGCACAGTAACACACAGCTAAATTACATACCCTTTGCATGATGACCATGCGGCGTGTGGAGCATCCAGTAACCCCCCTTCTCCCAACGCCATGCTCGCCAGGTGGGGCGGCGTGTTCCCAACAGGCCTGGCCGGTCTCCTGGCCGTCGAGCTGGGAGTGCTCTTGGGCATCGACGCCCTCAAGATCGTGGGCTCCACGCTGAGCGTTTTCACGGGCTTGTTGGGCGCGTACTGCACGGCCAGGACTAGCGCACAGGTCTACTCCGGGGTCATCTTCAACGCTGACATTTGAATGGAGGGCTCCGCCCCGCATGAGCACCCGCCCACAGTCCCCTGTGTCCCCTATTCAGATCTCCCACCAATGAGGAACAAGACCCTTGCATATACCAATGAACTCGCATTTGCCAGGTTGCACCCCAACAGAGTCTACACCTAGACTGCACCCCAATAAGCTCTGCGTATAAACAATCCCTCTGAACAAGCTCAGAACCACCTTCCATACTTTTGCACGCCAGTATTGTGCAGCACATGGCCACTGCCTGCTTTCTGATGTGAGCAATGGCTTTGACCAGCAGGGTCTTATTGAAAATGCCATCCATCGTTAAAATGACCCCGGCCTCCTGAACAACACAGAGTTAGGATGTGAGGATTTTCAGCTGTGCAAAGTGCCTTATGATCTGGTACTGGTCATGCGCTGTTTCGGGAACTCGAAGATCTTTGTGCTGATTCAGACGGAAACCGGTTCCGACACGCATGCACGGGCAACTTCCTCTCCATAGCACAACAGGATGTCCAGTGAAAGCACAGGTTTCCAATTTTGTGCAAGGATTTCCTTCAACTTGGCCTGCATCGGTTGCCATGGTCGTCGCCAATCCCAACTACAAGCGTCTCCCCTTGCCAGCGTCTGGCTTCGGAACCTTCGCGGACTTCTACCCATTCTACCTTGGTGAGGTCGGATCGATACATTGCTACGCTGGTTTGTGGTGAATCACCAGGCGCTACGTCCCATGGGCCCCGCTGCAATCAAACCCTGCCCCCCCCTCCCAACCAACCAACCACAAACCCGCTCATCCCAAAGGGGAGCATGCGAATCGGACATGCCGGCGCCTGCACATCCTGGGCACCACCATCGTCCTGGCCCTCGACACCCTGGCGCTGCTGACCCTGAGCCTCAAAGTGCTCCCCTTCGTGCCTCTGATTGGCTACGGCTTTGCATGGACAGGCCACTTCTTCTTCGAGCACAACCGCCCGGCGACCTTTAAGCATCCCATGTATAGCCTCATGGGCGATCTCAGGCTGTGGTGGGAGGTCGTGACGAGGCAGCGACCTCTGTGAGATCCGCAAACCCTCGCATGGCTGAGGGGTCCGCTGCGTGGGGCTTTGGTTGCACCTGCACGATCCCATGTGCTGAACATTGCTGGGCCTCTCTAAAGGCCACCGCCCTTCCTCCTCATCATTGCCCACCCACAAGCTAATGTGACTCCTGTAGTGCAAGTGCTTTTACCGCCGCCGCGATCTTCGGTCTGTTATCGTGATGAAATCCGAGAGACGCATGGGCTGCAGCATGCGCACCTCGCCCTCCTCATCGGCGGCCAGGCGGTTTGAGGGCACCTGCAAAGGGAGGATTTGCACTCTGCATGTCAACAGGAGCCTTGTCTCTTTGAGTTAAAAGCCAGCAGCGCAGGCTGCTGCTGCCATGCAGGCATAAAGCACAGCACGCTTGCAGCACGAGCTTGCAGGCCTTCAGCATGCCTCCAAGAGCGAGCTGCATGCATCTGGCCTCCTCCTCTGCAACCGCATCCCCTCAATGGGCCTACCTCCACTGTCCCATCCTCGTAGGCATGTTTGTAGTGGCAGCTTGCACCAAAGGGGCACGCTCCTGTCGGCAATGCGGCAGTGCTGATGGTCAGTGCAGAGGTGGCCCTGTTCTGTGCACACCAAACTGCACCCCATGCCGCCCGCTCAGTCCTCTCACGCATGCCTGAAACACGCCTGCCCGCCGGTGCCCCGCCCAGTCCCCTCGTGCACACCCCTCACCCCTGCCCTTGTCAAAGTGCATGCAGTCAATGGAGGCCAGCTTGGCTCGGTACCCCTCCACGATGGCCTGCTTCTGCTCCGCGCTCTCCGGCCACACCGTGCTGGGCGTCACGAAGAAGGCTGTCTGCCGGCACACCGGGCAGGTCCGCAGCGCCTGTAGGGGGGCCGTGGCGGCGTGTCTCCGGGGCCGGCAGCAGATCGCCACTCCTGGCATGCCCTCGCGGCGGTCCCTGCACCGCGCCTCCATGCCCTGGCCAGCTCCAGCATGCCCCCGACCCCACTCTCCCTCCGCCGTCCCCACCGGCCCGCATGCCGAAGCACCCCCCTCCCCCCCCTCACCGTGTCGACGTCCACCTCGCCCTCCTGGCGCCAGGACCGGATGCAGGCCAGGCAGAAGACGTGGTCGCAGGCCAGCAGGCCGAAGCGGCGCGCGCCCGCCTCCGCCTTGCCCAGCACGCGCTCCAGGCAGATGGCGCACTCCAGGCGCGCCGCCGCCTGCCGCGCCGCCAGGCGGTCGTGCCGCGCGCCACACTCGCGCAGGTGCGCCGCTGCCGCGGCGGCGTCCGTCGGGTGCAGCGCGTGCCGCCCGCAGCGCGGGCAGGCCTCGCCGTGCGGGCGGTCGCAGGCGTCGCCGCGCGGGCACGTGCCCGTGGCCAGGAAGGCGGGGCACAGGCCGTGGGCGGAGGCGGGGGCGACCGGCGGCCGCGCCACCGCGCCCGTCATCGCGCCTGCCATCGCGCCGGGCCGAGACCAGGGCGGCGGCCGGGCGCCGGCGCGCAGCGCGGCGTCCGCGGCGGCCTGCGCCCAGGGGTCACGCCCCTCCTCCTCCCAGCCGCCGAGGCCGTCCATCGCGTCGTCGTCCACCACCGCCGCAGCGCCTGGCTCCGCGCCCTGCCCCGCGTCGGTCTCAAACGGGTCCAGGGGCAGGCTGGCCAGCAGCGCGTGGCTTGCAGGCGGCTCAGACCCCAGTCCAGGAGCACCGGGCTCCGGGGATGGCGCCGTGCCGGACGTGGCGGCAGGCTTGGGCGCGGCGCGGGGTGCACGGTGCGGGTGCTTGTGGTCGTATCGGCACTGATGGAGATGTGACGGAGGGCGGCTCAGCACCTCGGCTCAAGGAATGTGCAACCATGTCTCCCACACACACCTTCCCCCGAGGCGAGGGAGCATACAATGGTAAGGGCACCTCACCTTGTCCCCGTACTTGCAGAAGCCCGCGGCCCAGTACTTGCAGACCTGTGGCGTGGGTGCGGGGAGGCGATGGTCGCAATGCATGGTACAGTGTGGGTGGGGCCGCTGTGACTGCCCCTGTGATCAGGGGGTTGCCAGCGCAAGCAGGAGTGCACAGCCAGCATGGGCCTGCCATTCACCATGGAGGGGGTGTCCTGGAGGTCGTGGGAGAAGGTGCAAGCCTGGCCATACCGGCAAGTCCCCTCCAAGTAGTATCGGCACAGCACCCTGTTGAGTGACATTAGGGAGTCCATGGGCAGCAAATGGGTCGGATAGCAAACACAGGACACAAGGTGAGGGCGCCTACATTTCACCGAACACATGGATGTCTGTGTTGGTATTCCCAATAAGCTCACACCTCACCTGTCCGTCATCGTGCGCACAAGCTGGGCGAGTGTGCTGCCTCTCGACGGGCAGGACCCCTGGACACTCACCGATCAGGCATCCTGGGACACAGCACCCAGAATTACAAAGCAATTCCACAGATTGATGACTCCTTGGCAATACCTCCCATCGTGGTCCCGCTGTCGCCCACCGTCTCGACTTCCCCGGCAGAGTGCCAGTCCGTCGCGCCCTGCGGAGTCCCGACCAGCGTCCCACTCAGCGGCGATGCCGCGGGCAGGATCGCCCCATGTGCTCGGCTCGTACACTGGCCCTCAGGCGCTGCGCAGGGGAGATCAGCAGGGACCACCACCTCCAATCCTCTGTCCTGCAGGCCGTGTGCTTCCCCATGCGCACCGGGATCCTCCGCACCTTGCGGGCTGGGTCTTGCATGGACAGGGCGCTGTCCAGGCTCACCACCCTGGGCCTGCACCTGGAGCCCGCGAAGCCGGAGACACATCTGAACGGCATAGCCTGCCAACAGACCTCCGGCATGAGCACCGGGGCCGGGTCCAAGCGGGCGAGGGGGACACCTGGGGACGCCCTCGACGACACCGCGGTGTACATCGTGGGGGTGGCGCGCACCCCCCTGGGATCCTTCCAGGGTGGCCTATCCAGCCTGTCGGCCACCGATCTAGGGGGCATCGCCATCCGCGCCGCCCTGGAGCGGGCGGGGGTGAGCCCCAACGACGTGGACGAGGTGTACATGGGCAACGTGTGCAGGTGCGCGTGCGTCTACTTGTTGTCTGAGAGTCGAGATGCGTTCGCATGCCAATGCATGCAGGGTTTGGACGTATGGGAATGTGTCGGGACTCGGGTCCGGTGGCAACATGGAGCAAGATGAGGCATTGCCTGCTCCTCCAGCGCTAGGACCACCGCTGTTCTCCCATACCACAAATCCATCTGCCGAAACCCTCGCCCTCGGCATCACTCTGTGCCCCCCCACCCACCCACACCTCCTACACACACACTCAGTGCCAACCTGGGGCAGGCCCCAGCGCGCCAGGCGGCCCTCAAGGCGGGCTTGCCCTTCTCCGCCGACTGCACCACGGTGAACAAGGTGTGCAGCTCCGGGATGAAGGCGCTGACCATCGCCGCCGCCAGCCTGCAGCTGGGCGTGGCCCAGGTGGCGGTGGCCGGGGGCATGGAGTCGATGAGCAACATCCCCTACTACGTGCCCTCCGCGCGCGGCGGCGCGCGCCTGGGCCACGCCCAGCTCGTGGACGGCATGGTGGCCGACGGGCTGTGGGACCCGCACCACGACATCCACATGGGCGAGTGCGCGGAGCTGTGCGCCGAGGAGCACGGCATCACGCGCGCCGAGCAGGACGCGCACGCGCTGGAGAGCGCGGCCCGGGCGCGCCGCGCGCAGGCCGGCGGCGTCACCGCCTGGGAGGTGGTGCCCGTGGAGGTGAAGACGCGGCGCGGGACAGCGGTCGTCTCGCAGGTGGGTGGGGTGAGGGCGGGGGTCTGGGAGGGCGTGGACTCGGATGAGCATGTTGTCCCAGGGTAGAAGGGGACTGGGAGGAGGAATGAGGAGCTGGGCAGGCGACCTGGGGGCGTCTCACGACCCTGCGCGGCGCACGCCCTCTACGCTGCATGCTGCTCGGCACGGTGATGGCGGCTACTCACTGGGCCGTCGCCTCGCCCTGATGATCGATCCCGCTCAAGCAGTTGCCTCCACACCACCTTGAATCCCTCCTACTCCTCTCCTGTCCAACCCCCCCACTCGACCTTCACAGGACGAGGCCCTGGCCAAGATGGACCCCGAGAAGCTGGTGCGGCTGCGCCCCTCCTTCCGGCCCGAGGGCCCCGACGCGGCGCCAGGCACGATCACGGCCGGCAACGCCTCGCCGCTGACCGACGGCGCGGCGGCGCTGGTGCTGGCCTCCGGCGCGGCGGTCGCCCGCCTGGGCCTGCGCCCGCTGGCCCAGCTGCTGGGCAGCGCCGACGCGGCGCGGGAGCCGCGCGAGTACACCACGGCGCCCTCGGCCTCGTTGCCCAAGGCACTGGCGCGCGCCGGGGTCGCCGCCGCCGACGTGGACGCCTGGGAGATCAACGAGGCCTTCTCCGTGGTGGACCTGGTCAACCGCCGGCTGCTGGGCCTGGACCCGGAGCGCGTGAATGCGCTGGGCGGCGCCGTGGCCCTGGGCCACCCCATCGGCTGCTCCGGCGCGCGCGTCGTGGTCACGCTGATCAACGCGCTGCGCAGCCGCGGCGGCACCCTGGGCGCGGCCGGCATCTGCAACGGCGGCGGCGGGTCCACTGCCGTCGTCCTGCGCCTGATGCCTCAGGCGGAGTGAGGGGCCGGCGGGGGCAGGGGTGCAGCCCGGGTCATCGAGGTGGGGCCGAGGATACCACGCTGAGGGCGCCGCGCTGAGCCGGTGGGGCCGCGCCGAACGGACGCAGAGTCCCAAAGGCCAGAAAGCACGACGAATGCCACCTCGCCGCGGAGCGTGAGGCCGCGCCCGTCTTCCACCACGCCGTCGAACCTGCGGCGCAGAGTGAGGAACCCTCCCATTTTCCTTGCCCGGGTTCCTGTCGGAGGCCCATGCTGGCGAACTGCGGCTCGCGGCAGATTTTGAATGATCATTGAGTTCTCCCCTCCCCGAGTCAAGTGTGCACTCTCCCGCTTTGGCTTGAAATTGTCTGCATGCGCAGGGATCCCACAGAGGATCCTGTGCCTTCCTTGTCCTGCCACAACGTATCCCGCACTGGTCAAACGTATTCTGTGCATGGCGGTCCTCCATAGGTGTGAGGCCCCTTGAAGCCCGTAAGCTGTCTCGCGCATGGATCTGTCAGGTTCCAAGTCCCTCACCCTGCGTCGGTGGAGACCTTTGAGTAGGCCTTGCGGGTGCGGGAGGGAAAGGTGCTTACAAGTTCGTCGATGCTCTTCTCCGTCTCCTTCAGGCTGCACCCCTGGTGGAGGAGTGGGGTGGGCATCCTGACGTCACAGTCCTGTTTTTGTGTGGGTGGCTCCCACCCGTGCATACCGGCCTGTCATTCGCACACTTCACTGCACCAACGAGCACTTTGTGTGCACTCAAGCAGAGGGTCCAGCCGGTCAGGGGAAGGTCCACGCGCATGCTGTACCCTCACCGTATCAATGACAACGTTTGCCTTGCGGCATCGCTCCGCATCTGGCAGCTGCCGAGCCAGCAGGGAAGCCAGTTTCTCTGTGCAGGGAGGGAGTGAAAGATAGCGCGGGATGCAGATCCTTGCGGCAGCTGGAGGTGGAGGCAAGCTCAGGTGCAACAGAATCAACAAGCCCATTCAGATTCAGAACAATAGCCAACCTGGCGACATGCCCTTCCGAGAGAGGACACGCCGGCGCTGGATGTGAGGAGGGGCGCTGACGGCTACTGTGAGGTCGCAGTCCGCCTCGGCCCCCGTCTCAAACAGGAGGGGGATGTCCAGGACCACGGCTTCCGCCCCCCACTCGGCGGCCCGCCTTAGTCCAAGACACCTCTGGGCCTTTACCAGGGGATGTACGATGTCCTCCAGCTGCCTCAGAGCGGCGGGGTTGCCGACCACACAGGCACTCAGCGCCGTGCGGTCGACGGCGCCGCCCGTCACAGCAGTCGGAAAGGCGGCACCGATGGGCTCCACAGCGAGCCCGCCTGCGGCATACAGCTCGTGCACCATCTATGTTTGGAATCGGTTGTGAAGACGGTGGAGTTCTGGCTATGGGCGTGAGTGTATGAGGCAAGTAGAATTGCATGGCCTGAGGATCGGTTGACAGACAAAGAGATGACCGCAATCGAAAGAAAGGATCTACCATCGGTCATGCAGCGAGGCTGCTGTGATCCCGATGAGGCAGGCATCAGGGAAGTGGCAGGAGGGAGCTATATGTACAGCCACTCACACCCGCACCTGGTCAGCATCCAAGACCGGGACGTTGCGCTGCTCGAGCATGCGACTCACGGTGCTCTTGCCCATTCCTATACCGCCTGTCAGGCCTACCACCAGGGGCGCCGAGGCATGGTCCATCGGGTGGCTCTGGCAGGAGGACAACCGGCGAAGGTGTGTACTTCCCAGGCGCCCGACCTTCCCACGCCCTGGTGGACAACACCTACCCTTGCCCCCACCCAGACCCCTCCATTGCTGCATTTCCGGTCATGGGTTTTGGGTTTTGCTTGCTTGCCCTGTGCTTCATCTGTACTTGACCCACCTCGCGGGTAATGACTACTCCATGAGCTTGCGCGCGCAATCTTTCCGACACAACACTCGGATTTGAAAGCATGCATGCGGCTCTTAAGCCAGGCCTTCACACCCATCCTGCGGCATGCACCATGGATGAAACAAAACTGCACATGGCTTGAAGTAGGAGGGATGAGTTCGCGAAAGGGCGCTCGACCTTCCGCTCCAATACAGCGCTCGATCACTTCCTTCCTTGGCTCCAAGAAACCGCCTCCCTCGGAGCCGACTCCACTCAAGCAGCGCCATGCTGATAATGGCGCAGATAAGGCAGAGACTCTAACCCACGCATGCGAAGACCGCCCGAGGAGATCACCTGATCACTCGGATGGGGGTGGTGTAGCCATTCTGCCCCTCAAGCGCGCCAGGTCCGATGAGGCCCTCCCAGCCCCCCAGGAGACGCCCTCCAAGAAGCGCAATGGTCCAGACCAGGCAGTCCTGCACGACAGATTCCAGCGCAAGCTGGTATCGGGTCAGGCTGCGACTCGAGGAGAGAGAGCGGCGGAGGCCAAGCAGAGTGTGACTGTGACCGGGACCCCTCCCCCCGGGGCCAAGCTGACACCCCTAGAGCAGCAGGTCACAGATCTCAAGAGGCAGCACCCCGGCGTCCTGCTGGTAGTGGAGGTGCGATGGAGTTTGCAGCGTCTTTCTTCCTGTATTCAGGAAGTTTTAATTGGATGCACAAGGGGGCACTGACCTGCGACGATTGCACTGTACTGTACGGGGATTACGGCCCAGGAAATGGCAGTCTAGCTCAAGTCCAACGCTGCACGGGACCATTGCATTGCTATGAAATCCATAACCACTGTACGGCTATCCTGCTGTGCCTTTGTGTTTTCCATAAGGACACTGACAGAACCTCACCAGAAAGCCCCCCCTCGGTCCCGCCCATGCGTGCAGTGCGGGTACAAGTTCCGCTTCTTCGGCGAGGACGCGGAGACGGCGTCCCGCATCCTCAACGTCTTCTCCTTCCCGGACCACAACTACCTGGTGGCCTCAATCCCGGCCCACCGCCTGCACGTGCACGTGCGGCGGCTGGTGGAGGCGGGCTGCAAGGTGGGCATCGTGCGTCAGACCGAGACGGCAGCCATCAAGGCCGCCGGTACGACGCGCAGCGCGCCCTTCCAGAGGAGGATGACGGAGCTCTACACCCGTGCTACCCTGGAGGTCGGGCACCTGGGCTCCTTGGCTATGGGAGGGAGGAGGAGATGGTTTGTGGATGATGGGTGTGGCGGCGGGAACGCCATACCCCCGCTCTGTGCAACTGCTCTGCATCCCTGCCTTCCTACTCATCCATGCGCCCGTCACACACAAGCCCACGGCCGCCACAGGCGGGGGAGCTTGGCGAGTCGGCGTGTGAGAGGCCTGGGGATGCCCCCGGCCAGCCTGGGGGGTCCGCCCGCTTCCTGGTGTGCGTCGTGGAGGCCGAGGGCGCCCAGGGGCGGTCTGGAGGTCTGGAGGTCGGCATGGTGGCCGTGGAGACCGCCACCGGCGCCGTCCTCTTCTCCCAGTTCAGGTGTGGTGAGGAGGGGGAGAGGATGGTGCCGAGGGGAGCACCTCTGTTTTGAGATGGCTGGGTCCCAGAGGATGGCGTTCGAGATGCCGCATCCCTGCGAGGCGTACGGTGGCGCCGCGGGGCCTTGCAGCATGCGCCCGGGCCCACACAAGATTTCACAGCCCGGTGGACCCCGCCCTCTTCCACGCCGCTCCCCAGGGACTCGGTGCTGCGGAGCGAGCTGGAGGCGCGCCTGCTGTTCGTGCCCCCCTCCGAGGTCCTGGTGCCCAGCGACACCAGCGCCCCCACCCGCCGCCTGCTGGCCTGCCTGGACGGCGGGGAGGGGCCGGCGGCGCGTGTCGAGGAGGTGGACGCGGGGCGGTACGCTGCGCCCGGCGCCGCGGGCAGGGTCGTGGCGGAGTTCTACGGCGAGGATCGGGGCGGGGCGGGACCGGGGGAGGATCTGGATGGGCGGGCGGACGAGGCGCATGGGAACGAGGTCCGGGAAAGCGGGGCGCTGGATTACCAGTCCCAGGGGAATGAGGCGCAGGGGCGGGCGGCGGGCGCGCTGCCGCCGCTGGCGCTGCGTGCGCTGGCGCACGCGCTGGACCACCTCCGCCCTTTCCACCTGGAGGGGGTGCTGCGCTGGGGCGCCGGGTTCCAGCAGCTGAACACGCAGGCCGAGCTGGCCCTGTCCCCCAACACCCTCCGGTGCGGCGGCGGGGAGGGGGGAGTGTGGGTGTTCTGGGGGGGGTCCAGGGAGTGAGGTGCCGTTTGTGCTTGCGGTCTCTGGGTTCCTGGAGCCTCGCCTTGCTTTGGGGGGGAAGGAAACCAGGCCTGCTCGGGCCAAGCAGTCTCCAGCGACGGGCCATTGCGGCTGCACTCCCCACCCTTTCCACACCTGGGCCCCACACCGCCAGGCAGCTGGACGTGCTGGTGAACAGCAGCACCGGCCAGGAGAAGGGCAGCCTGCTCTGGCTGCTCAACCACACGCGCACAGCCTTCGGGGCGCGGCGCCTGCGGCACTGGGTGTCCCACCCGCTGAGGATTGCCGCAGCTATCACCGCCCGGCTGGACGCCGTGCAACAGCTGCGGGAGGACGGTGGGGATGGGCCCTCTGGGGGGTTCTTTGGAGGGCGGCGAGAGCCCCTGTCCCTGATGTGAGGCTTCTCAAGTTGTTGAGTGCAGGGGGACGGGCCTGTTCCTGCCCGCCTCTTCGACCACCAACTACCCCGCCCACCCCACCCCCGCTCAGACTGCACGCACGCGCCGCTGGCGGCGCTGCCAGGGCTCCTCCGCTCGCTGCCGGACCTGGAGAAGGGCCTGACCCGTGCGCTGCATGGCACCACCGCCCCCTCGGAGTGCGTGGCCGTGCTGGGCGCGCTGCGCTCGCTGCGCG